TATATATATATATATATATTATATATTTACTTATTTGCAGATATAGAAAAAGAGAATAAAATAAAAAAACATAATTCAATTGATGATTTTATTAGAGAAAAAAAAATTCAAAAAACATTTTCAAGTACTAAACTAAGTAAAGAAGAAATAAATAAAACAAGAAATATAGAAAAATTAATAGAAGAAAATACATCATCAAGTGATGGTGAAAGTGAAAGTGGATACATAAGAAAGAAAAGGAAAACAGCTGATTCATACGATAAATCCTATAATAACAAAACAGGTTGTTATATTAAAAGTAAAAATATTATAAATAGTTTTAATGAAATGAATGATAAAATTGAAAATAAAGAAGATAGAAAAAATGAAAACAACATATATACATTTAATGATGAAAAAACTAATCCTTCTGATAAAGTAATAAATTTATTTTCTTCTTCTAAAGAAAAAGATTATGATTTTGATATGAAAATAAAAAAAGAAGAAAATGAAAAAGAAAGTGATAAAAACATAATTAAAAAAAGAAAAAAAGAGTTTGAGGAGTCAGATGAAAGTAAATATTTAGTTAAAAAAGAAGATAAACTTCAAATAAAAAGTGAATTAGACAACAATAAATTAGATGATTTATCTTATGAAAATAAAAAAAATGATAAAGAAGATGATCATATTTGTAAAAATAATAAAGATAATGAAAACAATAATGATTATTATAATGATAATATTCTAAAAGAAATGAACTTATCACCTTCCTTTATAAAAACAGATAATACATTATATAAAGAAGAAGAAAATAAAGATAACAATTATATAGATGCAGAAAATAGTGTTTCTGCAAATATTTTAAAAAATAAATATGACGAACTAATAATTAATAAAGAAAATGGTTTTGTGAATGTTTATGTTTTTGATATATGTAAGCATAGAAATAGCATTATATTATTTGGTAGGACGTTAACAAAATATAAAAAATATAGAAGTATAAGTATTTATTTAGAAAATTTAGATAGATATTACTATTTTCTATTGACCAAAAATAAAATATATAGAAAAGATGGAGAAGAAATTGATTATACGAACGAAAAGTACAAAATACATATTTTGACTGATTTTATAGAAGAATTTAAAAAGGTAAGAGATTATCATAATATAAAAATTGCTAAATACAAATTAGTAAAAAGAAGAAACTTAAATTTAAATACAAATGAGGAAGAATTATATGTAAAAGTATTATATTCTTATAATTATGATCCTATAAATGAAAAGTTTCAAAAAGGAGATACTTATTCTGCTTTTTATTGTTGTAATGAAGATATAATAGAAAATTTTGTTATAAAAAAAAAATTAAAACTACCGTGTTGGGTAAAGATAAAGGATTTAAAAAAAAATTTATCAAATAACTTAACTTACTGCTATTTTGATTGCATTGCTAACGATAAAAAAAGTATATATTTAGTTGATAAAATATCTGACAAAAAAAATGAAAACAAGGGAGACGAAGAAAATAAAAATAATACTCCAACTAATAATAACACAGAAAATATACCAAAAAAAATAGAAAATAATGTAAACACTTTTGTTGATTTAGATTTAAATAAAATTTATATTAAAGTAGTTTCCTTATTAAATGAAGAGAATATCCATGAAGTATTCAGTATAACTAGTTTAGTCGATTCTGAAGGTATGAAATATATAAATTTCTGTGGTATTTCTAACAAAGCTAATAAAAAAATAAATAATAATTACAATAAGTATCATTGTAAATTATTTGAAAATGAAAAAACTTTATTAGAAGCATTTCTTCAAAAAATAAAAACTCTTGATATAGATATATATATTGGATATAATATCCTGAACTTTGATTTGGAGTTTTTAATTCATAGATGTAATGTACATAATTTAGATTCTGATTTTTTAAGTAGGAAAAAAAAATTAAGAAAAAATGAGAAAATGAAAGTAAACAGATTTAACGGAACAAACAGCACTGGTTCTATGTATAACATAATTCAAAATATAAAAGGAAGATTAATTTTAGATATATATATATTATGCAAAGATGCAATTAAATTAACAAGTTATTTTTTAGATGAAATTATTGATAATGTAAAAAGCAAATATCAGGAAAAGAGTAAACAACAACAACAGAAGAAATCTAATACACCAAATGTTTTCAAAGATTTTTTAGTTAATAATATAAATTTAATAAATTCAAGTAACATTCATTTTAATGATGCACAATTAATTTTAGAGAATCATTTGAATATATATATTAATTGTCAAATTTTTTGTATAAATGAACTTGTTAATATATGTACTACTTTACAAATAATAGAAAAAACACGAGATTTAACTAAATTAAGTGGATATATATGGATGAGAAGCTTATTATGCTATACTAGTGAAAGAATTGAATTTTTTTTGCTTCATGAATATAATAAAAAAAAATTTATTACACCTATTATTAAAAAAAAAGTGAAAAAAATAGAGAATAATCAATTAAAAAATAAAAATGTTTCTAAGTATGCAGGAGGTTTAGTATTAGATCCTTTATGTGGTTATTATGATACTTTTGTTTTGTATTTAGATTTTAATAGTTTATATCCATCTATAATTATAGAATATAATGTATGTTTTAGTACTATTAAGTTAAAGAGTCATGATAATAAAAGTGATATGGAAAGAAAGGAGGATGAGAATGAGGATGAAGAAGCAGATGGAGATGAAAATATTGAGATTGAAGATTTTGATAAAAGTAAACCAGGAATTTTACCATCAATTTTAAAAAACTTAGTTGAAAAAAGAGCATTTATAAAAAAATTAATTGTAAATGAAAAAAATAAAGAAAAAAAAGAACTTTTATTAATTCAATCTTTATCAATTAAATTAATTAGCAATAGTATATATGGCTGTTTAGGAAATACAAATAACAGATTTTATGCTAGACATATGGCTTCATATATAACTTTAAAAGGTAGAAATTTATTACAACATACTAAATTCAAGGTAGAAAAAGAATTTAATTTAAAAGTTATATATGGTGATACTGATTCAATTATGATTGATACAGGAATTAAATCGAATAACTTGAATAATTATAAAGAATCTAATAGATTAGCTCATATTATTAAAAATAGTATTAATAAAAACTATAAAAAACTAGAATTAGATTTAGAGTGTATATTTAGTAAACTACTTTTATTAAAAAAAAAAAAATACGCTTGTGCCAAAGTAATAGATTCAAATTTTGAAAAATATGAATATGAAATGAAAGGAATAAATTTTATTAAAAGAGATTTTAGTAAAATTTCCAAATTAATAGGAAATGAAGTTTTAAAAATAATTTTTGGTAATAAAGAAAATGATACAAAAAATTCTGCAGTTCCTTTAGAAAATGACTTATCTGAGCAAATTCATGAGTATTTAAGAAGTGTAAATCAAAGAATAGAAAATGATGAGTAATAATAAAAATAAATAAATAAATATATATAAACATATTTACTACATATAATTTATATCAAATATATTATTATTATATTTATTATATGAATATATAAATTATATATAATATAAATTTCTATTTTTTAATTTATATACATATATATATTTATATATATATATATATATTTTTTTTTTTTTTTTTTTTTCAAGATTTGATTTAGATTATTACATTATAACAAAAAAATTGACAAAAAATGTAAACGAATATCAAGAAAAAAATTCATTAGGTCATGTTCTTGTTGCTGAACGTATGATAAAAGATGGTTATAATATTTGTGTAAATAAAGAAATTCAATATTGTGTTTGCAGAAGTGAAGATGCTTGTAAATTTTTTAATAAATCTAATGAAAAGTTAAATAGTTCTCAATGTTGTTTTAGTATTAATGAGATAAAAAAATATGATTTAAAGATAGATAAGGAATATTATATAAAAAATCAAATATTAACACCCATAAATAGATTATGTCAATATATTGATGGAACTAGTGCGGAAAAATTATCATCTTGTTTTAATATTTATGACGTGAAGGAAATAAAAACGGATAAACAAATAGAAGAAAATTATTTGGAATCAAATGTGTTATCTTTATTAAATGAATCAGAAGAAAGATTTAAAGATATTCATTTAAAAGGATATTTAATTTGCTCAAAATGTTCACATAATGTTAAACCAGATATCTTTATTAAATATTTTAAATGTAATAAATGCTTTACTTATTTATCTATAGAACAAATTCGTAATTATATTTTCTCTTTTATAAATCACTTATGCTCTACTTTCTATAAACAGTTATATGTATGTAATAATTGCTCATTAAAAACAAAAAGAATATTTTTAAAAGATTCTAAAAACTGTCCTAACATAAATTGTGAAAATAAAAAAGGTTCATTAAAACCTCTTGTATCTAAAAAATATGTTAATTTGATATTGGAATATTTCCTCTTTTTATTAAAAGATAATCTGAAGAAAATACCTGATAAATTAGTGGTAAAATCTGAAGATGAAAAAAAGGATCAAAAACAAAATGATGACGAAAGTAACGCAGAAACAGATGTAAATGTGAGAAAAAATTATTCAGAGGAAAATTTTAATAAAAATATTAATGAAAATAAAAATGCAAACAATGATGAAAATGAATATGCTAATGATGTTAATGTATGTATTTGCATAGATGAAGGATTTAAAACATATATTTCTAAAGATGATAAAAATAAAAAGAAAAACTTTAAAATTGAAAGTTATGATGATATTTGTAAAAATAAGGAATTAAGTTTAAATATAACTAAAGGATTACGAATGAAATACCCAAATATTTCGAATTTTTTATTATATTTAAATTTAAAAAGTAATAATTTTTACATTAATTACAATGAAGAAAGAGATGTTATAAGAAATTCTATTAAAAATATTGTACAAAATAATATATATTCACAAGTANTAA